AATTAAATGACGATGATGATTGGTCTAACAATATACTACGCAAAACGGAATGATCGTGTACAATGTTATAAAAGCTAGTTTCTGATTAGATGTTTACACTTATTTCTGTTCTTATTGCTAGTGTTAGTAAGAGAAGCCGTTTGCCCGCGGCCTTCTCGGGGTTAGTAAAACAAAATGCAAGGAGGGGAAAAAGGATAGGGAAATATTTCTGCTGTGCTGATTTCTGCGGCCAACATCGGAAACGTAGAGTGGTTAGCGGTGGCGGTGTAATCGATACACGGCAGTGGTACCAATCTATTCGCTGTTGCGAACAACCTTCATTCACGTAAACTTGTATTGTATATGGGCTTTTGTGTTCAATATTCGCAACATTTCACGATTTATAATGTAGACTTAGATGAGATGTGCATCATATTGAACAAAAATTTACACTACTTTTTCAAACTGTGAAGTCAAAGTTTGATCCATTGGTTCCAAAAAAATGAAAATGTCCAAAGAAAAAAATTTTACATACATTTTTCTTCTATCCCCAGTATACCCACTTTTTGGCCATAATCACAGAAAAACAATACGTTTCTCTTTTAAATTAGTCTGTAAACAGTTGGGTGGTAGGTCATAGCATAAAAAATTGGCGAAAAATATATACTTTTTAAATGCAAACGTCATATTTTGCTGTGTGAAGCAAGATGATGAATTTGTCAAAGCTAGCTATATAATTATAAATAAAGGACGTAAATGGTTAAGGAAATACAAAGTCATGAGTTCAGGAGTGCTAAGATGACATAGCATTATAAACCACGTTAGCATTATTCTAATAGAATTAACTAGCCCCTTGATCCTTTTTCTCATTTTACGGCTGGTATAATCAATTTGACAGATCGATGTTCTTCTAAACCACTTGAAATCACAGAAATGGGGTCGATTTTTGTTGATCGAGCTCCACATATGTTATGTGGTGCTACCCTGGGTTCCATTCTTTTATTCTGGGTTCCTATCTCCGGTCATTGGGCATTTATGCCAAATTCCTGCCATCCTACTGCCCTTTTTTCAATCCGATAGAATTTGTATTTGGGATGATCAAACGAAAACTGAAGAGGACGTATCAAGGGAACCACAATTAAAAAATATTGATCTAGCAGTTTTGTTAGTCTTTATTTAAGAGATTTTTAGCCATATGGCTAGTTCATCTCTTGTTGATCTAGCAGTGACGGAAGTATTAACAGACTTCTCGAAGTATTCTATGAATAATTTATCAAAAAAGTGTGGATATATCAGAGCAGGAAGGTTTGACCCAACTGTTGGATTGGAATGTGATCTGATTTATCTTGGTTTTGAAGACAATAGGTTTAAAAATAATTAATAAATTATATGAAATGCAAAATTAATATGTCATTTCGGTTTCCATTCGTTTTATTGTAATTGTAAATTTAAAAGAAAACATAAAATATTATTCTCTGTGGCAAGGTTTTTTTTTTTTTTTCCTTTGGTTTGTTTTTTCCGTCGATCTTGTTTTCCGTGCTGAGCACCAATGCTACCGACGTGCCAGGAAGGCAGCTCCCACACCTGGACCCTACCTATCGACCCATCAACTCATGAACCGGGGACCAACGGCTTTACTTCCCATCCGAAGGAAGGCGTGATCAGAGATGTTATGCCTCAGAACATCCCGGCGGCGCCGACTGGGATTGAACCCAGGCCTGCTGGAGTGAGAGGTAATCACTCTTACCACTACACCACCGGCGCCGTTCTGTGGCAAGGTTGCAAATACTCATTTCAGCTAAAATAATGTTTTTCGGAATAATAAAACCAAAAGATGGTATGATGACATGTTTTACTTGTAACTTACAAGAAGAGGTTACAAAGTATCCGTTTGAAACATAAAACCTGTAAATTTTGCTTTCTATGAGTCACAATCAGCGATTTGCTGATCGCTGAGTGTGTGAGTGAGTGTGTAAAAAATCGCTGATTGTGACTCTCATGAAGTGAAATAAACAGGTTTAATATATCAAACACATTCTTTGCAACTACTTCTTGTATCTTACCAATTCAAAATATGATCATAGCATCTAATTATTTCATAATTTAAAAAAAACATTGTTTTAGCTGGAATGAGTATTTGCAACCTTGCTCTGTGGTCCACGTCTTCGATGTTACTGACATTTTCAGAGAAGCTCCAAAATCTGACTCGTTGAATGTGACTGCTTCTTCCGCTGCTGGGAGAAATGATTTGCCAAAGTGGTCTCGCACTTCATATGCCTCAATGTTCATTTTTGTGGTACCCTGCATTGACGTTGTGAGCTACGGTAAAGTTCTGACGAATTTGCCTCGATCGCGGCAGCTCTTTGGCTGTGAAAAGCTTCACCAAGTGCGCTGGAGGTCCTTCGTTCACCAGGCTTTCGTGGAGACAAGGGTCTGAGGCAAAAATGGCATTAGCCCACATCATCCATCCACTGCTTGCCAATGATCCCCGTGCGTTTGACGTATCTTTTCAGCTAATAGTCCAACAGATATGTTGGACGCAGCACCAGCTACTTTCCACGTATGGCTTTCGGACGACGAACTTCACGCTTAGTAGGTTGATTAACGAATGTGTTTTTATTGACTTCTACTGACTTATTCTAACTTCCATTTACCTGAGATACTTGAAGTTATTATTTACTTAATTAACCAATCACTGATTATTACCTGATAGAGAGGTCCAAATGAATTGAGAGAAAGAGTTATGGTGAGAGAGCACTTAGTAAGCATTGTGACACTCCGTGCTAGTTGGAAACAGCCTGCGAGTATTGACACTGTAAGTTGATACTTTTGTTTTCGCGTGATAAATTGCAACGAAAGACTTTTGCAGGGCAACGAACAATTCCAACGTGCTGATGTAATTGTTCGTTGAACCTTTGGATATTGAATTTAATTTTGAAGAACGAGAACATTCATGATTTGGTGACATGTGAAAATCACATGCTACACTATCCCGTTCCTCGGGTTCTAAATGAGTGTCCTTCACCACCTTATGGACTGCCTTGTTATTAACGGGAAGAGAGTACGCGTGCAAGAGAAGATGGATCTCTTTGTTCTTCCAGTTTTGCGAAATTTTTGCTGTGATTTTGTCAACGGTATGTGACCTGTGACAAGATTTGTCGTTAAATAATGCGAAACGATTGAAATCTTCTTCATCCGGTTGCATTTGTGTGCACCATGACGGCTGGGCAACACCATTTCCATCGCAGACGAAGACGATATCACGTTTGAGAAACTGTTGGGACAATAACCAACAGTTTTTCACAAACTCCGCGGGAGAGTCTCCTGAAACTCCCCATTTACCTGCATCTTTTCCTGAACTCTGACCCTTAAACTCACAAACCGATACCAGCAGCCAACAGCCATACAAGCCACTAGGCAGCATAGATTAAGCGTAGTCACGATTTTCATCGGTTAAATTCAACTCATAATCTACAATCACGGCTGGGTCATCATCACAATCAGAGATCAAGCGTTTTTCTCCTCCTGGGCCATCTTCGGGATCTTCCATCTCGTCATCGGGGTTGGAAAGACGCGACAGATTTTCTGTTTCCGGATTTTCCGAAGCTTCCAAGCGACGCCGTTTTTGGTTTTTCTCCATACTCTTGCAATCTGTGCAATTGACGAAATCGTTTGATTAATTATTGCACAACTGATATTTGAAAATACCCACATATCGATGAATGGTACAATAAACTTTTCCCCAGACTATTTATTCCGGAATGAAGCCGATAGGAAAACAGTGGAACAGAACAATTGAATACAATCTGACAAGCGCGTTAGTGGAAAATAAACAAAACAAATCAAGAAAAACGATCAAAGCATGCATGCCTGTGAGTGAGGTGAGGGATCGTGACTGAGAAAATAATTTCAGCTCAGGAGTCTACTAAGGTGCAAAATGCACAATATAAGGAGATAGCCTTTCAGCATACACTGAAATCTGGCCGAAAACAGAAAGCTGTGGACCGAAAGCTAAAGTGGAAGATCACTTAAATTTTTGCTAATAGAAGAGTGCCTCTGTTCGACATTTGGCTATTACCTGAGAACCAAAGATGATTTCATAAATCAGAAAGAAGAAAACATTTTTATAGCACAGTAGCCGGAAGCAAACTTGCATTTGATGCCACAGTAGCCAAGTTGCTATTACTTCTGGTTGGAACGTTAGAAACGATTTTCTTTAGATCTGTCAGTGTTTGCAAAGGTGAAATTATAATATATAATTAATCAATTTTCAAACTTTCACAATCAGCTAATTCGGAAAATCACGGCCTGTTAGCTAACCAAATTCTGTCGAAGGCATACCGACCACCCCAAGTCAGAAACTTGTACGACCCACGTTCTAACAACAATCGTAAAATTTCCTATGTCCCTTCCCTTCACCATCCTCCCCTTCCATTCCGTGACCTTCTTACCTTGTACAAGAACCCGCTCTAAAGGCCAAAATGGGTAACTGAGCAGCACTGCGAGCCACAAATCATATCCCTAATCCTCGATTTCCTTAATGTCGACAACAACCTTTACCTTACCGGCGGCCACCCTTCAACTACCACCGTTCAACAAATAAAAGAACCCACTAGGACGGAAATCGTACACGGCGGCGCCAGCGGCAACAAACAGGAAATGCTGTGTCTGTGTACTGTATCGAAATCCGGTCACCTTTTGCAAACACACACGAGCATTCAGGCTGAAAACTACCAGCGACAATGGAACAATTTTCCACCTCAGCTATAATCCGGAACGGTTGCGCTGGACAACGGGCTGGATTTAACGAAAAGTTGGTCATAAATATGCCTTCCATTTCCGAAAACCAAAACATCCTGCCAAAAGGTATAAATTACCGTCTTAGAAATATAAGAAGAGTGAACCTGTTAAAAGCAACTGATCCCGCAATGCCCCCACCTAAGAAAGCAACATCGCATAGAATCCGACACCCACGAGCAAAAAATACAATAATGACCGAATAAATCTTAATCTTCTTACAGGCTAATCCCTCACATATTCGAAATCATAAGCCGTTTAGAGACCGTAATACCGATTTGGAAACTTCGGCCATCGGGTTGCACTTTGTGCTGAGCAGTCATCACTTCCAGCTCGGAAAGCTTAAGGTAAGTGCTTCGGGTGTGAAGGCGTGCGTTGTTAATGTTTCCTGTAGGAAATTTGGCTGCCAATAATTCTTCACTCTAGGCCTACATCTTTTAGGGATGGAAAGTAAAAAAAAACTAATAATCATTATGCTTTGCGTGAAAGGTGCACGCTTCATTAACGATATTTAGATTAATACAGTTTGGGACAGCGGAATGGAGTCGGTTGAGAAATTAAGTAGGGTTAAGTACTACTTTCGTCGTAATCGGCATCCGATTGAATAGAAAATTTTGAAAATATTATTCACCGTGAACAAATCAAGAGTAGGGTGGACAACGGCTTTGCTTATGGCTAATTCAGTTTTTACAATGGGCTGTAAGGTACAAGAAAGTTTTCCAAAGTGTATATTGTCGTACAAAACTTTCTGGCCGCAGTGCATTTGGGAAAAAAAATGTTCGGACTATCGCAACTATCATAAAAATTACAAAATGATTTCCTTCCAGTCACCACATTACATAATCTGTTCATGTGATGAAACATAACAAATTCTGCATGATTTTTAGGCAAATATGTAATCTTACATTTCCCGGTTGGGTGATTATGGGTTTTTAATAACATCCTACCAATATAAAATTAAAAAAAAAGCTAAATATGATCTATGAAAAACAATTTTTTTTTCATATAGCCTGGTGACCTGTCGAAAGAGGTAAACAAAATTAAAAAAAATATATATGGGCTCTAGAGTGGTAAGGTGCTGTCTATAAACTAACTATGTTGACAGTCTTTTTAAATTTGTCGAACATCTTAACAGAATCCCTTTATGAAGAACTTTGGGTGTGTTGGCTTATTTCCTTTAAATTCCGTTATAACTGCTTATCTTTTGACAGCTACGCGTATTTCGTCTACTACTTGCAGACTTCATCAGTTGCAAGTGGTGTTGAGTACTTGGCACTGATGAAGTCTGCAAGTAGTAGACGAAATATAGGTATCTGCCAAAAGATGAGCAATTATAACGGAATTTAAAGGAAATAATCCAACACACTCAAAACTCTTCATGTGTTGACAGATTTTGAGAGATTGTAGATTGTATGGACCAAAGACACTTGCCAAAAATTATCTATGTGGTTTATGGACAACCTCTTTATGAGAATATTTTGAGAAGATTTGGTCCGCAGCAGGTTATGTCATTTTCACGTAACTAGTTTTTTTTGACGTAGGACTAAGTCTGTGATTTCTATATGGGGAATGTAACAAAATTATGAAAGATTTTGAACGTTAATAACTCAGCTGCCCCTGGACCAATTTCGATAATTTTATCACCAATCGATCAGAAATATTTCCACGCATCTGTAAAATTTAAGACTATCATTTTTCAAAATGTCACTATTGAAAAATGAACGAATGTGCAATTGTTGCTATGATAACTAAAATTATCACCGATTGCTTGCGAAAAGCGATTTCCCTAACACAGATTTCAAAGTTGGATTCCATCCGCTCTCACCAAACGATGTTTATTCAATCACCGCGTGGTGCGTGGTGGTGTGCTCCAGTACACAACGAAAGTCTCCCCGCAAGCAGCTAGCTATCCAGGCTGCCCTCAACCGCTGATCAGATTCAGTTCCAATCACCGTGTGTGGTGGTGTCCGGTGCAGTGCTTTCGGTGCGTGGCGTTGAACATTGTTCTCCAGTACACAACGAAAGGCTGCCTGCAAGCAGCGACCTGCAGCCCACATGACCAATGACCATCCATAGAAGGAAGAAGAAGCCGCACAGCTATTGATCGGAATCAGTAGCTCTTCGTGAGTCGCTGTGGGTCATGTCAAGCGCGTTATACTAAAGAGTTTAAACAGAACCCCGCACAAATCACTATTCCTACACAAAACACAAGCTCTTGCTGCAATAAACAAATAAGATTTATTATATAAGACCACGTAGTCCTACGTCACCATTTCGTACAACCCCTTATAGTTTTTAAATAATCATAAAATTCGATGGTCCTTTGTAAGTCAATCATCCTCTCAATATTTGTAAAGTTGAGATTCCTTGACGTACGTTAAACCTGTACCTATACAGATTGATTATGTATAGGCTTAGTGATCCTATTCTCGGCCTATGGTCCTGTTGGGCTTAACGATAAAACTCAATTTTTAACCTACTTCAGGCTGATTTTTCTGCTTGAATGGAGTATGATGAATCGCATAATATCATTAGTTAATGAAAATTAGTGACATGTTGTTTCAATGCAGAGTTTTAGCGTTTGGCACAAAATAGGAGCATAGGCCGAGAATAGGTTCCGTTCCCCTACTTCAAGATGTTTAAAAATGCATTTTCCATATTTGCTGGTTATCTACATTCAAGTATAAATAGAATACTTAGGTGGATGTAGGTATCCAAAGGTATTTAGGCATATACATACAGATATTTCTTGATATAACGTAACTGTCACTTTTGGCTTCCATTGCTGATTTTCCATAAACGATCATTCAAACAAGCGATATTCACCATCGGACAGATGAGATAATCCCCCATCTATTAGTAATATTTATTTGTATGATTCAATTTTTATTAGCGAGATATAGACGATGTCAAAAGTGAAAGTTTCGTTATATCGAAGTATACCTGTACTTGTTTGAAAAACACGTTTTTTTGTTATAAAGTAGCGTAGAATACACATAAGTCATATGTTCATTGAGTCAAATCAAGCTAAAACTTGCCGAAGCATCCAAATTCATGGTCAGATTTTACATATAATGTTATTAAAAAGTTTTATATAAGCATGTATGGTCATATGGTTTTGTGGAACGTTAAAAATAAACCTCGTGTTCGGAAGGTACTCTTTTGGTACAAAACATTGGTGAAGGTTTTGGAAAGTTTTGTGAATATTTTCAAAAAATCACCCCTCTCAGCTACGTTCAAATCCATAAAGGTAGGCTATGGTACGCTGTTGGCACACTACGAACAAAAAGTTTGTATCAACTTTTGTGAAAAGTTTCCTGATAGATAGATTGACATTATACTAATCAGTAATATTTGTTTTAATAAAGGTAATAACATACCTTTTCTTAACTATGCGATGAAATTGAAAATTCACACGGATATTTTTCAATGATATTTATCGAGTATACAGTTATATGAACAAATTGATAAACCTGGTGAGAATAATCGTGTATTTGGCTCCACTGATTCTAACACACACATACATACAGCCATTCCAAGCAAAACGAAATGATCTTAGAATTTTGTTAAAATTGGTAGTTTTGTTCCTTATCGCAAAATTTTAGACCCGTTTGTCATTAGGGTAACCATATCCATGTTATGGTGGTCCAAAAAATTGATATCGAATCGAAATAACTTTTTGTTTTAAATTCATAGCTTTTGAACTACTTGACCGATTTCAAAGATAAAAATATAAAATGAAAGGTAATTGTACTGCGTCGTAACCATGTTAAAGTCGCTATAAATCAATGAAGACGCATGAGAAATTGGCCAATAGGGGAAATGGATGTTATGTCGGCCTTAATGCTCCTAATTTGGGCCCATAAATAAATTCTGAAATCGACTAAATTTTCAATAGCGACCAAAAATATCCATTAGAACCGTCCCAATGAAGCGTTCATCTAGATAAAATTGATAAATAGCAGATTTTTAACGATTTACCCAATCTTAGATCAATACGCCAACATAAGAGCCATTTCTCCTATGCCATTTTGGTTAAAATCGAAAAAATGGTGTTACTTTATAGGTGGCTGTCTTGTCAAGTCCCCAGTGCATAACATTGCCAAAACAAAATGTTTAGCGTGGATAACAACTTGAAAAACTAGATGGCTAATGTGCAATTTAAATAATAAATTGTCTAATGTGCGTGATGAGCAGGCTTCCGGAAATCTCACGCGTACACAAATGCGACAGCGAGCTGTGAGACGGAGCGTCGCATGACTCTCAAATCCATGGTGTGCTACATTATTGTACAAAAGAGAGACCAGAACGATGCGCGCGACAAGCTACACGCTCTCAACAAATTCGAGCGTTTCAATTTTTGTTTGTCTCATCGCATTGATCTCTCAATGCGACGCATGTATTCAATCACATGCGACTGTTTCATTGAGACATCTCAATGCGCTCTCTCAGGGCGCCATCGCCGTGCGCTGTTTCGCATGCTTTGACTCTCGCGGTCCCATCATAAGTGATGTTGTCGGGTGACGAGATAAGGGTTTGTTCACAGAAGACTTGTGGCCCTTTGCACATGTGGATTTTGAAATGGGGTAAAGTTTTTAGATGGTTCCAGAAATATCTTCTAGTATAGATTCAAGCAGACTCAACTCATGGTTCCAGAGATATACTGGAATCACCGTAAGCTCACCACTAATGATCCTAGGAAGACGCAATTGCTTGTCGAAAGGATGCTAAAGGAAGGTAAAGGAAGGCTACGTGAGCGGTGGATGGCAACCTTACGGTAGTTGGGATACCGTTAGCATGTTAGCACCCAAATAATACCGGAATATCTGTGGAACTATGTGTCCTTCAACAAGCCCTTATGCGGAAATCTTCTAAAATACAATTTTTGGAAGCCTCTGAAGCTTTCAGCCCATTTGGTGGAAAAATAAACAAGTTATTGCGCATTTGCACCAAATTAAACTCAGAATCCCTCAGAATACTTTTACTCAGACCAGTAAAAATATAAATGAACGATTTTGAATGTAAAACAGCACTATACTATACAAGATCATATGGTCGGCCTTAAGTCAGAAGGGACTAAGTAGCAAAATAAAAACAAAAAATGAGTTAATGATATCATAAGATCAAAAAATTCCCTCAGCTACATTTCAATTTTTCAGCCATATTTGAAAAATTAGAGTAGCACGAGAAAACAATTGAACAGCCAACTTTAAATACGTTTTTCTCAAAATCAAATAAAAAATTCACATTTGTGTCTGACTTGAACGATCATATCAACACGCTAGTAATGATAGAACTCTGAATATTAATATTTTTATTTGTCTGGCTTGAGTGAACACTATTTTAA